TGTGTGTGTGTGTGTGTGTGTGTGTGTGTGTGCGCGTGCTTGTGCGCGTGTTTTAGGTTGAGGGTTGTCCCTCAGAGACAAACGAAATAAACATCTCTTTCTCTCTCTGTGAGCCTCCCTCCCTCTCCCTCTTGCTCTCATTTTCACCAAAGGCTTCTCATCTAAAGTAGAAAAGAAAGAGCCGCTCCAGGAAAAGATGTCAGTCATCTGTTTGTGTTGACAAGCTAGAGGCCAAGAAAGATTGCATTGCCTGAATGAGCGGCCAATCTGTCAATGTGAAGCATTTAATGCGAAACGGATCATTTTGGTTCTTGGGCTTACTTTTGAGGATTGGCTCTTAATACGTAATAACACAAAAAAATACATAACATTGTGCCCACTAAGATCAATAATAATAATAATTTAGTGACAGTCCTGTAGAGAAGAGGGCTATGGCAAGCTAATTAAGCTACTAAAATTTAAAAAGTTTGATGATCTGGAATTAATGTTGTATATCAACAACGCCTTTCTGACTACTTGTATCATTTTTGTTCATGTTTTTTATAGTTTTTTTCAACCCTGCATCCTGAAAACATTATAAGCTGTTCACTGCTGTAACCGCTGTCCTTGAAAGGGTGAATTCAAGTAACTGTCACAAAGTTGTGACTAGTCAAAACCACAGATTGCGACATCCGTAATGATGATTTGTTGAGTCAACGTTCAACCACAGATATCTGCAACGTCATTTTGCCAAAACGACACTTGTTCTTGTTTATAATCACAGAGATCCAGCTACAATTCACTTACTTCCAAACAGATAGAGGGGGAGAAGATCTCTGCTGCTGCTCTATCTATCTATTTATTTGCTCGCTTGCATGAGTGAGTGTGAGTACAACTGGAATAATGTGTGTCTTTTGCTGCAGTTTGAGGTATCCACAACACTCTTTTGACGAGTCCGGATTCTATTTACAGATATCTATGACCTTGTTTGGTTCTAGAGGTAACTTGATTTAGAATCTAAAAACTGATATCTCGAACTGGAATTATGGCTATCTCAAACTTCGTTTAACGATATCTGCATTCTGCAAATTAATTTGATTGCAGATATTGTAGCTATCTGTCCAAAAAAAACAAAAACGATTCACTTTTTTTAGGCGTATTTTGACAACCATCAAAACCGATGGGTTCAACAATTTCGGTTCAGCGCCACTTTTCCACTTGGTTCTTTTACGCAACGCTTTCCTTTTTTTCCCTTATGAGCGCGAACCTAAGATGGCGGGCAGCGCGCCTGTGCGTCAAATCCTTCCAGCGATGCGGCAGCCAATCATATTGCAGTGGGGCGGGACGATTGTGCGCCTTCATGTCCGTGAATGAAGAGCTGAAGAAGTTAGCATCGTATACAAGCTGATCTCGTTCACACAGAATTATCTTTAGGGAGAAGAGCATTAAATGACATCCTTCTTACTCTAGCCATCATAGATGTGAAGTATGACAATCTGAAGTGACTCTTTAACCGAAAACAAACTTCCTTTCACAACAAAATTGGCCACAATATTAATTCTTTTCGGCTTTGCTGAATTCATCATCATTTACATTTGTACTCCCCAAGAACAACTTTTTTTTTTTTTAATACTTGTCAAATGTGATCCAAACATAGATTAGACCTGGATTTTTGCTCCATTACAGCATGCGTGTGCGCTTCACAATAATCTCCCTCCACCCAGCAGCAAGACATTGTATGCTCAGTCTTTACCAGCCTGGGAGTTCTCTTCGCTCTGTGTCTTTTTATAGGTTTGTCTTACTGTACTCCCTACTGGGCTTCTATTTTCGTGAATGCTGTGAGAAATAATTGAAAGTGTTGTGTGCAGTCTTATCTTTTACAGCGTTCACACTTCCACGTGCCTTGTAATAAACTCCATCGGTAAAATCCCTGCTGGCTGCGGATTCTTTATTCCTGTGAGATGGTAAACACTTGCTGGAAATTTGAGCTAAGAAGAAATCTTCACCGGAGACTTAGACAGCGGTTGATTGATTTAAGATTCAATTGTTTGTGCTCATTTTGTACCTTGTGAAAACACGGTCGGTCTGACTGTCTCCCATCAGGGGTGTACATGTATTCATATTTAGAGCTTTTGATATTTGCTGCAGCGGTGAACAGAGTTTGTGCACTCCAAATATAAGGCAAGGCACAGGGACTGAAGAACTGGCTGGCATTCGAAGCACATTCCCCCTCTGCAAACCAATACAGGACATCTCAGCCTCTGGCCAGCGGATGTCATGGCGAGCAATATGCTGAAGTCCTTTGTTGTTTTGGGTCATTGTCTAGCTCGATAATGACGGATCTCTCACTCGCCCTGGTTACATTTTTGTTCGAATCGGCAGTCGAGGTGTTTCTATGGACATCCTCGTTCGTGTTGCTGCTCGTGTGATGATGTGTTGCGTCAAAGAACATGAATGAGTTGCTCCCGGAGGAAGTAATTCAAGCCCAAGACATGCCATTCCCGCCACTGGGGTTGACTGATGTTGGACATCATATGCAGATCCTTTCTTTCGCTAAGCTTTAGCTTTTCTATCACTTTTTTTTTACGTTTTTGTCAGAAATGTTCGGGCCTGTGCATGCACTTCTGGCAAATTCCAGGCTGTCCTTTCTGTGCTTCTTGTGAAGGAGCAGTTTGCATCTTCTGATGAAGCCTCTTTACTTCTGGTCATCAAGTCCTCTGCATTCATTAAATTGTTACATCTTGACATCTGCACTTTGGAGGTTGTTGCTAAAGTCACTAAGACCCTTTTCCCACTGAAACTAGCGGGTAGTAGTGATCCGTGGTGACACGCAACCAATTGGCATATTGTCCCTTTCCCATTGACCAACAGAAGGCGATTCTGCGCCCCGCCCCCCCTTCCACCACTTTGCGTCTGGTTACGTCACCACGCTGTGATTGCGTAGATGATAGTGCGACAGATTTCTTGGTGGTAAACAAAGCAACATGGAAGCGAGTGTTCTTTCTTTTATCATGCTTTTTGCCGTCCTCAAAATGGTCGAAAAGCAGTGGAGGATCAACTCTTTGCTACTACTGAGACAACGTAGACGACGTGAATTTTTGGCCGAAATTGAAAGGAGTCGTATAAGTTATGACGCATTACGTACCGCCCTATGTCATCACATAATTACCGGGAAGTCCCATGTTAGGGTTTCAAACTGCAAGCGGAGGCGATCGGAGGCGATCACAACCCGCCTCCCATGGCGTTCTGGTGGACACACGGATCGACACTGGCCGGTGAGCCTTTCCCACTGTTCAAAAAAGCGTGTTTACCCGTGGTTTTGCGGCAGTGGGAAAGGGGTATAACAGAGTTGTTTGGGAGGGCCTTCTTGATTGTGAGCCTTCTCTCACTACATTTCTCTCACTACATTTCTGTCATCCTTGACCATTCAGCGGCTCTGACTTCGTAAACGGCTGGTTGCTTTCTTCCTCTACAATTGTTTATGTTTCACCCACAGACGCCTCTTTCACTTTCATGTCCGTTACACTTCTTCACGTCGTCTGCACAGGAAAAACTCAAGTGAAGACATGCGGCGCTGAAAAGTTAAACGCTGAACTGCTGAGCTCTAGTTTTGTATTAGTTAATTAGTCTGACGGTTGCAATACTTTTGGAGAGAAGTCTAACTATATGTTGGATACACTGTACGCAGTTTTAGGCAACCAAAAAGGTTTTGCACGAATGCAGATTAGATCATCAGATCATGCAACAACTTGACCTTACCATAACAGATGGCATCCGCGGATGTGTGGAAGGTGCTGCCGGAACCAGAGCACACTGCAAAGTAAAAAGCAGTGCAACGAGAAGAGGAAAAAAATGAACAAGGGTTTTCAAAAAGAATGAATTCAATCAACGGCGCGGCAAGTCAGATGATCATGAATCAACCCCTTGGCCGCGTGTGTGCGGCCTTACTGTCAAAAGCGTGTTTACCCGTGGTTTTGCGGCAGTGGGAAAGGGGTATAACAGAGTTGTTTGGGAGGGCCTTCTTGATTGTGAGCCTTCTCTCACTACATTTCTCTCACTACATTTCTGTCATCCTTGACCATTCAGCGGCTCTGACTTCGTAAACGGCTGGTTGCTTTCTTCCTCTACAATTGTTTATGTTTCACCCACAGACGCCTCTTTCACTTTCATGTCCGTTACACTTCTTCACGTCGTCTGCACAGGAAAAACTCAAGTGAAGACATGCGGCGCTGAAAAGTTAAACGCTGAACTGCTGAGCTCTAGTCTTGTATTAGTTAGTCTGACGGTTGCAATCCTTTTGGAGAGAAGTCTAACTATTTTGTTGGATACAATGTACGCAGTTTTAGCCAACCAAAAAGACGGATGATGGTTTTGCACGAATGCAGATTAGATAATCAGATCACGCAACAACTTGACCTTACCAGAACAGATAGCATCCGTGGATGGGTGCAAGGTGCTGCCGGAACCAGGGCAAACTGCAAAGTAAAAAGCAGTGCGAGGAGAAGAGGAAAAAAATGAACAAGGGTTTTCAAAAAGAATGAATTCAATCAACGGCGCGGCAAGTCAGATGATCATGAATCAACCCCTTGGCCGCGTGTGTGCGGCCTTACTGTCAGCAAAGATTCTTTAGGTGGATTACTGACTTGGTTTCAGAACTCCATCACTCTGTCACCCTGCAAACACATACAAACATAAATCATTCCTCAAAAACAATTTGTCTCAGGAGCAGGTCTTTCCTCTGCTCCGAGTTCTACAGCTTAGACAAATATGTTTGTCTTTTTCCACTTCGTTGAAGTGCGAATTCAGATCCGCTAACTAGGAAATGGATAAGTCTTTCATTAAGGAGCCTTCGTCACTCCCCATTGGGTTCGACAAATAACAAATTAATTTCCAGCCGCCTAATTTCTCTCTGTTCTCCACTGAATTTACGGTAACATCAAATTACCGATCACAGGAATGTGAACTCCCTCAAGTCTTTATCAATTCATAAAAAAAATATGCCGCAAAGGAAACGCTACAGAGCAAGTTCTCTTTTTAATTTGACTCCATGCCTCCTTTAGCACCTCGGCACTCGACAAACACAAATCAACTGATGTGTGTCATTCAAATTAGGAGATTCGGCATACCTGAAACAAGTTGCTTTGCGGTAATTACAGAGTTGACTTTCAACTTTTCAAAGTAAAACAGTCTGACTTAAAAAAAAAAAAGAAAAAAAAAAGCCTTTTCTCTGTGGGTAGCAGTGTTTGGTAAAGAAGCAGTTGTGTATTGACAGGGCCGTATTGATGTTTCAATTAGAGCGGTGTTACATTGTGCAGCAGCACGGTAACACCATGCATCTCCTGCCATCTGCTCTGCCTCCACGTCTGACGAACGACACACGTGGGGCTAATCGAGCCGCACATGAGCGATGGGACCGCGAGCTCTGACACACACATACACACACACACACACACACACACACACACACACACACACACATGCACACACGCACACTAACACACACTCCTCCTTTATGTGCATCCTTATGCAGAAAACTGGGGGAAGGACGAGGGCGAGCTCCTGTTTTAACACCCTTCAGAAAGCCTGTGATTCCTCCCCTTCTGCCTTCACGTGCGCATCACAAGCGGGTTATTCCTCTGACTGTGAAAATGCAAAATAGCAGATGTAGGAGTTCAAATACATCAAAAGCTCATCTGATGCAAAGATTGTCAAAAAATTAATAAATAAATTGGAAAAAAAAATAGAAGGGGACTGCTTGTGCCAGATTTCCCGTGCTGGCATTACTGCCTGCCAAACCACATGAATCAAAGACCTCATTGTGTGGATTATTTCGTTAATCTATTGATGCCATTGAAGAGTATTGCAGGTGTTAATGTGCCAGCTTCCCCCCTGCTTTATTGGGGAGGTGTAGCGTTAGGTCGGTAATCTGTTTTAAATGCTTTCTGGGGAACGAGACACTGAAACGCAGCCAAGAAAACTCTGCTGTGGTGAAGAGCGTTCCCTTAATACAACGCAGGCGAGACTGATGCCAACGGGGGAGCGCCAAGGAGCAACACTTGTTGAAATATTTGACTGCATGAATAATAAGGAGGGAGGGATATGATATAGCTGAAGCAGTCCATTATTCGCATCCATCCCACCAACGCCTCACTGCTCCTCTTCTCTTGCACAAGTTGTGTGTGTGCGCCATGCCAAGCTCATCTCGACGCCCGCTCCAGCTGACTTTGGAGGAGCAAAGCAAAGCAACACAGAAAGGGAAAGCCATAAAGAGGCAGAGAGTGATGAAAGGTAAGAGGGAAAGGGGACAGAAAGAGAGGTAATCCTGCCTTTTCTATACTCCCCAGGGTGGTCTCTTCATCCAGGCCTTCAAAAGGAGGGACGGAATACACCTCTGTGTGACAATGGAAGGGACCCACAGGGGTTGTTGCTAACCGCGTGCGCGTGCGTTTATGTGTGTGTGTGTGTGTGTGTGTGTGTGTGTGTGTGTGTGTGTGCGCGCGCGCACGGTGTGGTACAGCTTTAAGCAGGCCTTTGAGTGTCCTAATTGCGATGGAATACAAGCAGTCTGAGAGCTGGCTGAGATCACGGTGGGCTGCTTGGAGGGGTTAGAGCCCGCGCCTTCGACAGCCACACTCAGCAAAAGAGAGCTCAATGCGTGCAATTAATGCTCTCCCTCTCGTTAACTCGCTCCCCACTTTTTGTCTTCCTCAACTATTTGAGACCCCTTCCCACCCTGCAGTTCCCTCCCTCACGCCTCAGTCTGTCGTCATCGGCCGACGCATTAATCCGCCTTTCCAGCCTGTCAATCTCCATCCTCTTTGATGCCCTCAACAATTAGAGTAGGCATGAAAGGCGTGGGTCAGCTGCTGTTATGTAAGCCTCGCAGAAGCCTTGACAACCATTTTTCGTACCTGTTATTCAATCAACAGTATCACTTTGGAAGAGATGATCGTGCGTGCTTGATTCAAAACTATTTAACATGCTTGTACACAGGACAAAATGAGCTCAATTATAATTTGATTTTAGAAATCACTATTGCTGTTGTTTGAAATATTATTGTTATAGTAGAGGGTAAGAAATCTCTGATTTCGGGCGGTCATTTTAAAAAAAAATCTTTATAATCCGATTATTATAAATTTATGGTTATTTACATGCATCCCAATTTGTACAACGATTTGTGAGCCCTTGAAAATGGCCGTCCTCCTGAATAAAAATGTCTGTAGGATTCCAGGATGGTGAAACTTTTTCATGGGAACTCTTCAATTCTAGCTGGAAGTCATGATTGTTTTATTTCATATACTGTACATTGTGGTGGTGTCAAGAATTGTGACATTTCTGACATTATCCAAACACTTCTGAATTTGTCAATTTAGTGACCCCCCACCCCACAAAAATAATATCCTATTTGACTCCACACGCCACAGTCGAGCCTCTGGCTGGCGCATCTGCATCACAGTGGCCATTTGGGGGTTTTTACCTCAAGTCCTCTATTTCTACCTGCAAAAATCCATGTAAGGTTAATTGAAGACTTGAATATTCCCATCGGTGTGAATTATTGTTGGCCTCTATCTTTCAGCTCTTTGATTGACCGGCGATCAGTCCAGGGTGTTCCCTGCCCAAAGTCAGCTGGGATAAGCTCCAGCTCACCTATGACCCTGAGCAGGATAAGTGGGAGAAAAAAAAATGGAGGAACCAACTCCTTTCCGTCAAGTGACTGAAAGCATCATTAAGATTATTATTGTGCTTTAAATGTCAGATGAGAGAGGCATAAATGCAT